AAAAAATAGCCGGGCATTGTGGCAGGGGCCTGTAGGCCCAGCTACTTGGGAGGCTGAGACAAAAATCGCTTAAGCCCAGAAGCTGGAGCTTGCTGTAAACTGTGATGCTACAGCACTCCACCCAGGGTGACAGCTTGAAGCTCTGTCGCGTTTAAAAAAATAAATAAATAAAAAAAAAACTTCCAGCCCAGCCTGAAGTGCTGGGATTCCACGTGAGCCACTGTGACTGATGAAAATGTTTTTCTAACTTACCCAATAACCAAAGAACCAAACAGAACTCTAAGACTACTAATCTATTTTCCCTCAAATTACATTAACTATTCCAACACATCTTGATACCTTTTTGCATGTTTAGGGTATTGGAAGTGTATCATTAGCACTGGAAGATGAAGAAAGATAACAGAAAATCCATTTGTTTTAGTTTAATAGACATTTATTCCTTTAGTTGAACAACCTCTACACAAAATCAAAATGTATGGAATGTATAGTATGAGATTTTGAGTAGAAAGCTATTTAGGTCTTAGATCTCAAATAGTTGTATATCGAAGCAGTACCCTGAACCCCATAAACGCATCAATATACAAAGTTGATTTAATAAAAAATAAAAAAGTTGTATAAGGCTGCTATGAATATTTTCTGGAAATCAATTAACTGAGCCTTTTGAAACCCCTTAAGAACATAGGTGAAAAATTGGTTCAGAAAAATCAATTGAATTTTGAAATCATACTAAATCAGCAAATTGGTAATAGGGATGAAATGGAGAAATTCCTCTTGTATTTCCTTCACACTCAAATATACCCTGGGGAACATTACCCTAGTCTACTAGGAGACGGGAAACATGAATGCAACATGATGTGGTAGGATGTTTAAAGTGAAGGTGAGCCTACAATGGCCTAATTTCGCCATAATGGATAGTGTGATTTGAGCAGGGAGGAAGAAAGTAACTGTAGATGTGTGAGGTGAGATCAGAGACCATTAACTTATATGAAATTCCTACTACGACTTTTCCCTGGAGCCATAAAGAATGGGTTGATTCAAGATAACTTATTACACTCATTGCACAGAGAAAGATACTTTTAAGCAGCCAACTTAACCTTTACCCCTAAAATGGCTGGGGGGATTCATAATGGTCACAAATTAACATTACAAGTTTTTAAAAATGTTGCTTAAATATAACTTCAATTTTCTAACCTCATACTTGAAAAGTATTTTTTTAATGGCCACTAGCTTAGTAGCTTCCCACCATAGCACGGATTACTAGCTTACAAACTTAAGGTTTAGTAATTATTTGCCTAACATCCAATTTCTATCAGTTTCAAAATACAGTGTAAATACCACTACTATACCACTACTAATATGAATAGAATCCATACAGGGGACTATGAGATTTAATCAGGAACAGCTTTCATTTCCTATGTTAACTTAAATGGTACAGTGGAGACTGAGGCAATTTTGTTCAGGTTAACCAAGACATGTCTCATTTGTTAAGAAAAGCTTCTTCAAGTAAGTTTATTCAGTTTTGGAAAATGGTGGCATTTTGGGAAGTTTTGGAAAAACAGCCGAACAAATTTCCAAATAAAACCCGATTTAAAAAATTTGTTTTGTCAAACTCCAGCCACCTGAAAGTAAACCAGCAGAGCACTGCCATCACCCCAGTCAAGCTGTAGGTTTCACCACATGCACCAAACAAATCTACAGGGTAGTTTCAGCACTCCTCTTTTCAAGAAATTTATTTTACACCTATTATACCATACATCATGTTTTAAACACTGACATTTAACTCCCTAATAAGATAAAGCAATGACAAAAAAAGTTTACCTTATTAGAAACAAGATACACCATCACGTACTGTCTTCAAACATTATTGCACTTCATAATTTGACAAAGCATTCATGAGACAATCTGCAGACTAGTTTAACAGACAAATAACACCTTTAAGCAGACAGGACTGTCCTAAATTGTTTATTAGGTTATGAATTTTACAAACATTACTTATATTAGCGGTAACGGTGGAGCTGGAGAGTATTGCGTCTTCTCCAAGCTGCACGGCGGGAACCACCAATAGTGTGGTGGAACTTATGGCCCTTTCCAAGGCCACGGCTCTTTCGGCCTGCAGATGTCAGCCCACGCATCTCCCTGTGCTTGTGGACTGGTTTGGTGATCCACTGGGTGTCAGGATTTCTTCTGATAGCTTTATGGAATGGATCAATGAGGATAACCTCAAAAAATTTGTATGTTGAATCTTCACCAACCCAGTAAGAATTCAGGACTCTTAGAGCCCCACAGTGGCGTCCAGCTCGCTCCTAGAGTGAGAAAAAAGGTTTAAGGTCAGCTCCTACCTTGCCTATAGCAACAAATTAAAATTCTAATTGTAATTCAAGTTCACCACTAGACAAGAGACTGAGGCTGCTCATTTAGCTATTCAAGTAGTTACTAAGCAGCTCCAGCTCCCCCTAGAAATTGGCATCATTAAATGAGATGAACTAGATTTGCTAAAATAACACATAAACATACTTAGATGGAAATACATTATTCCTCTGTATTACTCCCTTCCTAAGACACAAATATGTTAATATCTGACAAACAAAATTTAGGACTTGGGAACCTACCCTTTCTACTACAACCAAGAATCAGCAAACTTTTCCATAAAAGTCTTAAAAATATTACACATTTTGGGCTTTACAAGACTTTTGCACAATATTTTTCTTTGCTTATGTAGATAGACCAGCCATAGCCTGCCAATTGCCATTTCAGAACACAGCTCTATTTACTAACTCAAGATATCCTATAACTGACTGCAGAAACTTAGCAGCACACATAAACCTAGCTTCTACAAATTCAGGCAAATGTGCTGAGACAGTTTACTCTCCTTCAAAAGTGTAAGTTCCACAAGTTTATAACTGTAACATAGTATATCTAAATACATACATTCGCAGATGACAGCAACTCCTCTAAGATTAGTAAAGCAAAAAACCACTTATCTTAATTTATACACATAGGACTCACCTAACTACTAAAATCACTTCCTTCCACTACCCCTAAGAAGCAAGCAACACAACTACTCCTCAAAACCATTTACCTCAGCAACAGACTGAAGGCTTCGAGCAAACTTTAGCTGGTTAACACCATGATGCACAGGCTTGCCATAGGTTGCACCCTTAGGAACTGGGCGTTTGCGGCCACCGCGGCGCACACGAATCCTGTATATGACATAACCTATACAAACCAAAAAAAGTAGTGATCTTTTAGAAAACCATAAAGCTTAAGACTCGCCACATACACCTAAGGTGGTAGGTTCGAATCCACCCCGCCGCCAAACAATGATGGCTGCAACCAAAAATAGCCAGGCATTGTGGCAGGCACCTGTGGTCCCAGCTACTTGGGAGACAGAGGGAGGAGTCTGGCTTGAGCACAGGAGTTGGAGGTTCCTGTGAGCTGTGATGCCACAGCACTCTACCCACGGGAATAGCTTGAGGGGGACTCAAAAAATTGTCACTAACGCACCATCAAAGACATTTCAGATTGTGACTTAAACAGAATCAAAGCGTTTTTCAAAGCATTTTATGTTAACCCAAGGAGTTAACATTATTTTGCTTTAAGCCAGATTTTCAGATTTGTCATCTTCCACACATTTGTCATTTATTATATTGTGGTGGGGAACAAGTGGAGGTAAGAGTGCAGAAAAAGGGGACGGTCCTGTGTATGACAGAGGGGGCAAAGGAGCAGAGCAGTAAAGTGTTAAGGCGAAAAGTATGTGTACTATAAACTGTGAATCCAACAAACCTAAGGTGGCAAGAGGACAGTACAGTAAAGTGGGGGTGTGTGTGAGTGTTGTCTGGTGTAAAGGAAGACAGCTTTTAGCTATTCTTGAACAATATAACTGTATCCAAGACGTGTGTACCTTGCTTAGCCTTGTATCCCAGTCTGCGCGCTTTATCTGGCCGGGTGGGGCGGGGAGCCCTATGGAGCGCAGAGAGCTGGCGGTACTGCCAGCAGCGGACCCTCAGAAGAAAGCGCATCACATCAGACTGCTTCTTCCTCCACAGCTCCTGGATGTACTTGTATGCACCCATCTTGGCTCACCTTTGATACAAAACTGGCTGTTATTAAAGGATAATGGACCGACCCCGTCCATCATGGTCCCCAATCAATCACAAGGAAACCGCTGAGAATGAAAATGGCTCTGCACCAATTGCAGGGGACAGCTAGCCCCAACCCCGGCCCCCAGTGCCCACGAACAGCGGTGTCCAGTCACCTCCGCAACCCCACTGCAGGGAAGCGCTCAGCACACTTTTATTGCACAAATGAGCAGGTAAGACTTGACACCGAGGGGGCGGATGGCTGCGGCAGACGGCGTCCACAAGGGCCCGGCCTGCCAAGGGGATGTCGCCAATCTTACAGGGGAAGGTGCTGCAGCCGAGGATTAATTCTCAAGGAGGGGGGGAAAAAAACACTTAACCCCTACCCCTTCCCACACCACACCAGCAGCCGGTCTCGTTTTAGGTTGCTCTAGGCCTGGCCTCCCACCTATCAGCCCTACGCCTCCTTCAGGTTCCAGGCCCAGATCGAATTCGCGCCGCCATCACTTCTTCCCCCAACCCGCTCCGGGGCCGCCTCTCCACGCCATCGCTGCCCACCATCCCGACTGAACTCTCGCCGCACAAGAAGCAGGCGTAGCTTCGAGGACGCAGGGTCACTGGGCCTGGATGGCTAAGGCGGAGGGTGATCAGAGACGGATGAAGAGAAAAGATCCCCGACACAGCCTACCTGATGGCTGCCGCCAGACGGAAAGGAACGGGCCTCTCTCCCACAATCCCTTTTGGGCTCCTCCCCCACCTCAGCGAGCCTCTTTCCGGTGGAAAGCTGCAGCTGCCCAGAGCCTCATGGGACGTGTAGTTCCGGCGAGCACGGTGGGCGGCGTTCAGCACGGTTGGGCGCAGCCTCTCTATGGTCCCGCCCCTCGCGCCGCTGCATTCTAGTCGGAGCCGCCGGGGCATCTCTGCGGGCGGATGGGAGAGTTGGTGGTGAGACCCTGGCAGGCTAGCGAGCGTCCACACTCGTCCCACCACGGGAGGAGGCTAGTTGGGAGCCAGGCTCCAAAGTCGGTGGCCGCGAACAGCGGTGGAGCCGTGCAGCCTGCGCGCCGCTGTCACCGGGGTCTGAGGAGGGTACAGGTTTGTGTCGCGCAACGTCGGCTCTTCACTGGAGTTGGTTGCGGATCCCCTCTAGCGGCGCTTTCCCCTTCAGTCTTCCCGAAATCTGGGCCCAGCAGGGCGCTGACGGACCCCGCGACGCCTGCCCGGGGCCCCACGGAGGCCTGCGCAGAGCCGCAGCTTCGCGCGTGGGGGGCAGCGCGCAGCGTACCGGGCGCGCCCTGGGGGTGAAGCCGGGCCGGCGCCCCCTCCGAGGGATGTTGCCCTAAAGAAGATCGGGGAGGTGGTGGATGCGGGCGGCTCTGCACTTTCACTTGCGCGCTTGTCCTGCGTACAAATGTGGCCCCAGATTTGCTAACGTTAAGAACCGCAATGTTTTTAGAAAAGCAAAATATTTATTTGCCAAGCCTGTTTGGCAGGTACAAATGTTTTGGAAAGAAATGCCGAGAAAATGCTGGCATTTTGCTCTGCGTTCTTTATTGAGAAATAGTTTGCTGGCTTTTTTTTTTTTTTTTTTTTTTGCGTCTCCAGAATATTTTCATTTTCAATTGTTTATTTTTTGAGACAGAGTCTCACTCTGTCGCCCTTGGTAGAGTGCTATGGCGTCACAGCTCACAGCATCCTCAAACTCTTGGGCTTACGCGATTCTTTTGCCTCCTCTTCCCACGTACCTGGGACTACAGGCACCCGCCACAACGCCTGGCTATTTTTGTTGCTGTCATTGTTGTTTGGCAGGGCCGGGCTGGGTTCGAACTTGCCAGCTCCGTTGTATGTGGCTGGCACCCTAGCCGCTGAGCTACAGGCGCCGAGCCAATTTTTTTATTTTTAAAACAGTCATATGGTTTTAATTCCCTTCCAAATTCTACGTTTAAATGTGGCCAAGGCTTACGAGAATCATATTTACCTTGTAAATCATTAGCGGTTGTGGTCTTTTCCCCCCTACTTCATGTTTGCCATAAAAAAAAAAAATCACGGTATTATCCTTGTGAGAGTCCTCAACTGGTTCATTGATTCATTCAACAAATATTTATTAAGTTACTATTATGTGCCAGGCACTGTTCTAGCTGCTGAGGATGCAGCAGCAAAGAACGGAGAAATTCTAGTCTTTTTGGAAAGGGGCAATAAACATATGTAAGCTGTGGGTTGCCTTTGGTAATAAATGCTGAGGAAAAAGGTAAAGGGTAGGGAAAAGAAAGGGAATGTTGGTGCAGAATTGTAGGGATTATTTAGGGTAAGCCTTCTTGAAAAGGTTAACATTTAAGAAAAGACTTCAAGGGTAAGAGCCTGTGGATGGGGGTGGGAAGCCTATTCAGGCAGAGGAAAAAGTGCCAATGCTGATGCATGCCAAGATTAATAGAGAAACAAAAGTAGGGAAACTCTGTGGCTGGAATCCACCATAAGGTAAGGTAGGGAATGATGTTTTGGGGTTTTTTTTTTGCAGTTTTTGGTGGGGACTGGGTTTGAACCCTCCACCTCCAGTATATGGGGCCAGCGCCCTACTCCTTTGAGGCACAGGCGCCCCCCCTCCCCCCAAGGTAGGGGATGATGTTAGGGAAGTGAAGGTTCTTATATGGGTGTTGGATTTCAAACTGTCTGACATTGGAAACCATTGGAAGATTTTGAGCAGAAAGGTGAATTCATGTGGCTTACATTATAGTAATTGTCAGCCCCATACCAATGGGGGGTTTGTCCAGCAATATGGGAGAAGAAGGGTCCCTACTTACCCCCATTGGCATGCAACTCTTTTCCAGGCACAGTGGCTCACACCTGTAATCCTAGTACTCTGGAAGGCTGAGGTGGGTGCATTGCCTGAACTCACATATTCCAGACAAGCCTGAGCCAGAGTAAGACCTCATCTCAAAAAATTGCTGGGTGTAGGCTCAGTGCCTGTAGCTCAAGGGGCTAGGGCCCCAGCTGCATACACGGGAGCTGGCAGGTTCAAATCCAGCCCAGGCCCACCAAACGATGACAGCTATAACCTCAGACTCTTGGGCTTGAGGGATTCTCTTGCCTCAGCCTCCCAAGTAGCTGGGACTACAGGTGCCCACCACAACACCCGGCTATTTTTTGGTTGCAGTTGTCATTGTTATTTAGCAGGTCCAGGCTGGGCTAGAACCCACCAGCTTTGGTGTATGTGGCTGGCGCCCTACTCACTAAGCTACAGGCGCGGAGCCAGCTCAGGGTGGTTTTCAAGTGATCCATCTACCTCAGCCTCCCAGAATGGTGGATTACTGAAACTTGGATTAGAGGCTTGGTCACTCCCAGGATCTGTTCATACAATTCAGTGCCCATTTAGGGTACTACAGATGACTACATTTTTTTATTTGGAGGGAACTGATACACATTTATTGTGTTGGGGATTATGAAATATTATAATGCTTATAGACTAAACTTTAAGTAATTTTTATTTGTAAATCTGAATATATCTAAGCATGAGAACCACTTCCTTATATGTGGGTCCCTGCTGTAGAAATCATATGTGGAAAAAAGGTAGTTTTGCATGTATGTTGTAATGTTAGTCATTAAAAATGTTAACATTAGTTTTTATGGAGGGGGTTTGAACCCACCACCTCTAGCATATGGGGCTGGTGCCCTACCATTTTGAGCCACAGGCGCCGCCCATTACATTAGTTTTATGAGACTTCATATTTTTGAGTGGCATCTGTGGCTCAGTGGGTATACTGTGTGGTATGCTGCCATATACTGAGGGTGGCGGGTTTGAACTCAGTCCTGGCCAAACTGCAACAAAAAATAGCCAGGCGTGTGGCAGGCGCCTGTAGTCCCAGTTACTCAGGCAGCTGAGGCACGAGAATCGCCTAAGCCCAGGAGTTAGATGTTGCTGTGAGCTGTGACGCCACAGCACTGTACCAAGGGTGATAAAAGACTTTGTACTTTTTTTTTGAGGCGGGGGCTTGCTCTGATACCCATGCTAGAGTGCAGTGGCATCATCATAACTCACTGTAGCCTCATACTCCTAGGCTCAAGCCACCCTCCTGCCTTAGCCTATAGCTGGGACTATAGACATACACCACTGGGCCGGCTAATTTTTCTGTGTTTTGTAGAAATGGGGGGTCTCGCTGTTGCTCAAGCTAGAGAAGTCATACTTTTTAATTGATGGTAGCAGGCTTCTAATCTACTTTATGTAATATTTGGAAGACAACCAGGAACCTGGAGTACTTCAGCTATTCTATTAATCACACTTACTCTTTCATCTTTGTTTTCCTTTTGATAGTCTGAAATATTTAACAGATATTTTATCTCTGCCTTTTCCTTCCTAAAGAAATCTTTAGGCTCGGCGCCTATAGCTCAACCGGCTAAGGCGCCAGCCACGTACACCTAAGGTGGCGGGTTC